GGATATTCCAACTGACCTCAAACAAATAGGAGACCATGCGACACAGGGACAAGTGCAATCTCTCTCCCGTGTTTTTGTCTCTCTCCCGTGTTTGTTTGTTTTTTTATCTTAACAGGTGGGCCCTCGAGCGCACGCCGTGCAGCATTGCCGTGCCGATTCATCAGCTCCAGGCTGGCATAGCATATGGGTGAAAGAGTGGAAACGTGATCCACTTGCACCTAAGTGGCGTGGACCTTACACCGTCCTGCTCTCTATTCCAACAGCGGTGAAGGTAGCTGAGGTGACCCCCTGGATTCATCACTCCCGTTTGAAGAAGTCCGAAGGCAGTTGGACGTGCAAAGGTGACCCCTCTAATCCTTTAAAACTGACTCTCTCCAAAAACCCCTGTATCTAGCCCTACCGGGAACGGGCTAGGTCACGGGCAACATTAGACGACCGGCCTGCTGCAGCCACAACCTGGAAGCTGGCTGACCTGCGCACGCCTGAAGCTTGAGGAGCGTCTAAACCAGCGATTGCGAACGGGAAGATTCTCTAATACAATTAATTGACTGCCCCCCCTTGTGGAACAATTATCAGAGATATTACACATTGGGGATCCTTGGGATATATGTTTTGGTCTTGGTGGTTCCCCATTTCTGTCACTGGGGGAATTATATTGGGGCTAATAGTTTTATGCTATCACAATAAGGTAATCTTTTGTGGAAGGAATGCATATGCTACACATCAACATGATTTTATTATTAATCCTGATCCCTTGGGAAGGGGAAGGGTCCTTGAATCTGACCAAATTTGCTAAATATGGATTCCGCCATGACCACAATATGTGGGTAGGTTTAGCTGAAATGGTAGCCAATGTTGCAAATAGGACCAATTGCCTTGTTTGCTCTCTTGGGCCAGATGATTCAGAGGGAGGTATGCCCTTATTACCGATACCATTAGATGCCATTGGTATGGTAAGCGAAATGCCACACCAAACAGAAATACAGAATTTCCCCGGATGGAACTCAACTAAACCATTACGAGTTATACCTGTACAAGGGGAATTCTGTGTACATAAATCATCAGATGCAGCTGATTCTACCATGATAGGCTCTTCTCATTGTCACTATACTTGGGATTATATTAAGAATAGTCATACCTGGGCACACGGTACTACCTATCGAACTCGGAATACCTTGCCCTGTGCACCTCCTTTTATTCATGCATGGAAAGTGGTATGGAACATAACTGTGACAGAAAAAGGCAATCTAACATACTGCACTGTGAACTCTCTACCTCTTTTGATATTTCGCCTTCTGTACTCCACGTACCAAAAACCTCAGACCCGATGGTTGTGGTGGATATGTGGAGAATGGGCATACAAGAAACTCCCTTCCAAATGGAGTGGGACTTGTTTCCTGGGATGGGTATTACCACCAATGTGGATTATGCCCACTAGTTCGGCCAAGCGAACACGAAGAAACGCTGATATTTCTCGTATAGCAGGAGGAAGTACCCAAAGTTGGAGCGGTACTGATGATTGGCCGCCAGAGCGCATTATAGCCTATTATGATCCTGCCTCCTGGAATCCTGGTGAGCTCATACAAGGGGCACGGGATCCTATTTATAATCTAAACAGAATAATTCGATTGCAAGCAGTAGTGGAACTTGTAACCAATGCAACGGCCCAGAGTTTGAGACTTATTGCACAACAGTTGGATGAAAGTAGAGCCGCCATTTTGCAGCTGAAAATGGGAATGGATTATGTACTTGCCAGGCAGGGAGGCCTATGTGGAGTCTTGAACTTGACAGGGAATGCCTGTTGCTTTAACATTTCTGATAATGGTGAGGCAATCCGTGTGTTGGCTACAAAGATGGAGAATATAGCACATGTCCCAGTACAAACATGGGAAGGATGGGATATGGGATGGCTCACCAATTGGTTACCTAATGTCACAGGACTCAAAGGGATATTATTGTCTTGCTTGTTTTTCTTGACGGTAGTAGTAATGGTTTTATGTATGATGCCATGTATCATTTCATGTTTTAGGAAGTACAATTAGCAAGATGATTTCGAATGAAACTCTACCTCATATCATGGCCCTATACAGAGCTTTACCTCAGGAATATGATGAAGATCAAGCTATCAAGGACACTTGGTAGCAAGGTCCTTGAGCTTGAAAGGGGGGAATGTGGCATCTGAATATAGACTGCATTTTTAATCAAGACTTATATTGGCTTATATCTTGATCAGGTTCCTAAATTAAATGGGCTTAGATTTTCAAATGTTTCATGCGCAAGAAGACCAGCTGTTTAGAGAACCTTTGGCAATGTTTTCCTCCTAGACAAGGGGCCCCTTGATTTATAGCAGAAAACAATTCTCAAAGTCGTAAAAAGGGGAATTACAGACTGAGAGCGAGGACACTGACCCTACATGTTACAGAAGATAAAAAAGGCAGAGATAAACATAATTAGGAATGAGTAAATAGTAAAATAATACCAATGTGCCTCCCAGTAAAATGAGCCAGATCTTCTTTCTAAGGTTAAAAGGCCAAGAGCAATGGAGAAGCATCTAGCTGGCAGAAAGAGAGCATTTTTGGGAAGTCTTTTTTAAAAGCTGTTTCTTTCTTAAACTGAGAGAGTTGAAGGGCAATAAATGTTGGGAAAAGCAAATGGGAAAAGCAGCTGGCTGAGGGGGGGTGTAAACTGAAGAGGCTTCTTTTGAAGCTGTTTTTTTACTGAGTTCCTTTTTCTACTTTACAAAGACCTTATTCCTTTTAAGAGGCTACCTGTGTTGTGTATTAAGTGTATTGGCATAGATGTAATTATGCAAAGGATTTAAGAAATGCTAGATTCTTATTTCATATAGTTGTAAGAGTTGTATTTATCCTGAAATTAAGTCAGCCACCAGCCTAGCCCCCCTGCCAGACAGGAGACGCCATCCAAGCAGTCCTGATATATAGTGGTCAGGCATTTGTTTAGAAACCTTCAAATGAAGGAGATCTTTCAATGTTGATGTGAAACTCAAGATCCTTGACATATGTTTAAGATAAAAATTTAAGATTAACCATTTGTTTTAGAAGGCAATAGGGCAAGGAGGGCAAGAGGTGAGCTGGTAATTAAGATTCCTTGTTGAGACACATGTAAGATATATTACTACTTATTTGTCATTTATAGATGTAACAATATATAGCTCTTTGTGTTCCATATAAGGACAGGAGGATATGGGTGTATCTTTTAGGATTGGTTATAGCAATCAGCCAATAGGAAATCCAACCAGGCTGATTGGACAGAGGCAGCCAAAGGAGGAGCAAAGGGGGCTGGATTAAGGGAATATAAGTGCTGGCCATAATGGCAGGAGGCCAGGCCAGAGCTTGGTAACCATATACCACTGTGCCTCTCATTTATTTGTCTGACAAATAAATTATTATTTTAATTTCTCTATTGCTGCGTTGAATATTTCATTCCAGCTAAGCGTTAACCACAAGCAGGGTGCTACATTATGACTTGGCAACTGTACTCCATGCTCTGATAAATTTCAAACTGAATTATTGCAATGTGCTTTACATGGGGCTGCCCTTGAAGATGACTTTGGAAACGTCAACTGGTCCAAAATGCAGCTGCCAGTTTACTGACTGGGGTTCCCTTTAGATCTCCTATAACCCCTGTTTTTAAACAGCTGCATCGGTTGCCACTGCATTTCAGGGCCCAATTCAAGTTGCTCCATTTAAATGATGTAGGCCCCAAATATTTGAAACACCACTACCCTGTTTCCCAAAGACCCTATCGGATGCTGAGATCAGCAGATAGTTCTGTCACTCTCAGAAGGTGTTAGTGGCCCAGGCTAGGTTGTTGAATCCATTATGGGAAATACTATACCTGAGTTTATAACTTTCATACAACCTATTAAATATGTAGGCTCTCCCAGACCCCCCAAGTGCCCCTATTTTCCAGTGATGTCTCTGATTTAGAGAAGCCGTCCCAGTTTCTGATTTGATCCTGGAATGTCCCACTTTTCTTTAGGATGTCTCTACTTTCATTGGAGAAATATTGGAGGGTATGAAGTTATCTGACCCCCAAGCTGTCTGAGGGCAATCCTGTATTGGGAAGTTTTGTTTAATGTTTTATTATGTTTTTATATATGTTGGAAGCTGCCCAGAGTGGATGTGTGGGGTATAAATACTGTAGTAAAATGATCATTATGGAATGGGACGTTCCTGTTTTCAGTGGAGAAATGTTGGAGGGTATGCTCTCCATGTGGAAGAAAGATGGCTTCTAACTTTTATCCGTTTGAATATACCCTCAATAACAAATTATATTTAGTTCCACCTCCATTTAACTGCCATGGCTTCCCCAAATTATCCTGGCAGCTGTAATTTAGTGAGACTGCCAAGAATTCTGTCAGGGATCTGTACCTTCAATCCAATCACTCCCACCCCCTCTGAACTGGTTTACCAGATTTCCTGTGGGAACAGAATGAGTAGTAAAACTGCAGTGTACTGTTCTTATGGCCGGGGCATCAGATCCTACACCCCTTTTTCACAATAGTTTCCTCATTTAACATTGACTTTCTCTTCAACATAAGCCTAAGCAGTAAATTTTATGTGTTTCAACTGTTTGCCTTTGATACATTTTCCTAGGAAATTATCTGGAAGTGTCAGGCCTTGAAAACCATATCTGGAGGCCTCTGTAGAGAGGAAGAGCCAGAAGGCCTGTCTAAACAAGAGCTGCATGGAGTAAAAGCAAATTCCTGTCAGAACTTATTAGAACCAGCTGTCACTGGGTGGGTGGTCAGTCTGAGGAGAAATCTCTTTTGAGGGATCAGTTCCTCCAAATTTCTCTGTACTGTAGAAGATTCACAGAGGATTTATAATGTCCAACTGTTTTATTTGGTTCCATTACCGGTAATCTTAGTCTAAGTGCTCACTTAATCTTATTCACCACTTTGGAGACCCACCAGATGAGGAAAAGCTTGAGATAACACCAGGAGGGTGAGATTCACAAAAAGGATGGCACATTTTTATGTATGCAAAGGTTTCTACAGTCTTTATTTCCTAGACACCGAGGACAGAACAAACAATAATTACACATCAAAGTGATGAAGAGCTTCACATTTTGTGTATTTCTTCAGTCACCTTGAAGTTTCTATACATGCTTATTCTTCACTTTTGACTGCCTTTCCAGCATCACGGGATTTCACCCGCAGTTTGTTGACCTGTGACTCTGCAATGTCAGCCCTCTCTTCAGCTTCTTCCAGCTCATGCTGAATCTTGCGGTATTTGGAGAGGTTGAGGTTGGATTGTTCCTCCTGAGAATAAAATTATGAAAACCATATTATTAAAAATTCAACTTCTCTTTTATTTCAACCATAACCAGGTGATTGGGAGCAGGATGCTAATGTCTTGATTCTTCATTATGTGATTATGTGATTTAACTATTGTTACAAGTTTGTAGGCACCAATTTATGGAAACCCAGCCAGATGGGTGGGGTATAAATTAATAATAATAATAATAATAATAATAATAATAGTAATAATAGTAATAATCCCTATAATCCTAGCAAGTTTTAAAATATAAACCAGGCTAGCAAGACTGCCTAAGTAGTAGACCCATTGAGTCTTGTTAGTCATGACTAATTTAAGTTTCATTTATTTCAATGGGTCTCCTCTAAGTTTAATTAAGTCTGGATTCAACATATAGTTTTCTCCATGCTGGGAAAATGTTCAGTTCTTAATTTTCTGCCTGTCAAGGAAAAAATTATGAGAAATCTAGTCTAGACTCCCAATTAAAAATATGACAGATACACATAAGTCAAAATTGTTAAAGTGTAACTATCCACTCCATTATTACAACTCATTTTTAAAAATGATATTCTCCATATTTGTGTTAGGCAATATTCTTGCGTTCATTACTTAATTAGTATTTCCATTTCACAGTTTCCTTTTGATTCTTGCTTTCCTTATTTGTAGTATCAGATAATGTGCCACTGTTTAGGACTTTGGCCCACAGGCATTTTAATGAAACTCATTACAGTAAATATAATCAGATTTATTTGAAATGTAACCATTGTTCCATCTTCAGTGCAATACTTACAGCTTCTTCAGATTGTCTCTTATAAGCTTTCACTTTCATTTGCAGTTTGTCCACCAGATCCTGAAGCCTCAGAACATTCTTCCGATCTTCCTCAGACTGAACAAATGGAAGAAAAAAGTGAGTTTATATAATTTAAAATTCATTCCTCAGTTTGATTTTCTTAAATAATATATTTTTCTAGAGTGAAACTTGCACTATGTGTTGTGGGAGAGCATTCCATGGATTAGAGAGGTTAAGGGCTTGATAAGAGGAAATGAATAGCTATTAATGTTTTTTGGCATGGGGCTGTGCATTGGCCGTATTTTTGGTTGGTTGGGGATATCAGGGCATAGGAATGCAGTGACATGTTTATGATGATATAAGTGATGATATATGATGATATGATGGAGCTGCTTGTATTGTAATAGGGGAAAGTAAAGAGTTCATGTAATTTACCCCATTACAAACCTTTGATGAAGAAAATATTTTTGAAAAGAATTTCTCTCACTCTATTTCACTACTATTAAACATTTCCAGTTTGAGTGTTCAATAACATCAGTAGCATTTCTTTCACTGTATTATTGAAAAAACATTTATCACCCTCACCTGGTAGGTCAGCTCCTTGACCCGCCTCTCATATTTGCGCACACCCTTGATAGCATCAGCACCACGCTTCTGCTCGTTCTCAACTTCAGCTTCCAGCTCACGTACCTGAGGAAGGCACAGGAGAAGGGAGAATTTGCATTCCATTGCATTCTTTACGTTCAAAATGTATAAAGACTACAGATATATGAGGAATACGCACTCTGTGCTCCAGTTTCTGGAGCTGCTTCTTGCCACCCTTCATTGCCAGCTGTTCTGCCTCATCAAGACGGTGTTGCAGGTCCTTTACGGTCTGCTCCAAGTTCTTCTTCATCCTCTCCAGGTGGGCACTGGTGTCTTGTTCCTTCTTGAGTTCCTCAGCCATCATGGCCGCCTATTAATAAAGTTGCCAAACCAGTTCAAGAAATCAGCCATACCAAGTGTATAAAGGTTCAGATTTCAAAAGTAAACTCCCTCCAACTCACATCAGTGATGGCCTTCTTGGCCTTGTCTTCTGCATTGCGAGCTTCTTGAATAGTCTCTTCCACTTCACCTTGGATTTGTGCAATGTCTGTTTCAAGCTTCTTCTTGGTGTTGATCAAGCTGGTATTCTGTTTGGGGAAAAACATATTTGAAAAATTGCCTTAAAACAGCTAAGACAGAATTTTTAAAAGGCAGGAAACAATGACATCTACTTAGAAATGAACTCAATGAAGCTCTGCCTCAAATAGTTGCCCGGGATTTCTTATTCCTAAATCCCCAGAGTTTCAAATGAAATGGAAATATCATAGTATGCATACCATACTATGATATAATAGAATCTAATAATAGAGAAATAAGCTAAATAATCATGTCCACAGACGTTTTGTATAAGAGCAAGCAAAGATTATTTAGGCATAGCTTTGTTTCCTTCAAGTAATATGGCTAAAGGTGGAGCAGGATGGAAGAGAACATTCTCCAAGATAAACAGCCTGCTCTTCTCTACTGGTTAATGAGAGGTGGGGCACATTACATATTAGAAGCTTACCTGTGTGTGAAGAAGTTGCACACGCTCACTGGCATCCAGAAGTTCCTGTTCTGCAATCTTCCTGCCCCTCTCTGTCTGTTCCAGAGCTGCACGGAGCTCCTCAATCTCAGCCTGCATAAGGTTAGCTCTGCGCTCAACCATGGCCACTTGCTCCTTCAGATCTTCCTGGCTCCGAACAGCATCATCCAAGTGCAGTTGTGTATCCTATCAAACAAATTATTATGAGACACAAAGTCCTTAATAACATGGCAATTCCAGGATTTCACTTTAAACTGCGTGGCATTGTACTGTAGATACCTTAAGCTGCCCTTGTGTGTTCCTGAGGTTCTTTAATGCCTCAGCAGCTTGGCGGTTGGCATGGCTCAGCTGGATTTCCATTTCATTCAGATCTCCCTCCATCTTCTTCTTTACTCTCAGGGCATCATTCCGGCTCCTGACTTCAGCATCTAGTGTGCTCTGCATGGACTCTACTACTCTCAGATGATTCCTCTTCAGCTGATCAATTTCTTCATCTTTCTCTGCAATTCTCCTGTCAATATCAGCCTTCACCTGATTGAGCTCTAGTTGGATGCGCAGGATTTTGCCTTCTTCATGTTCCAGTGAGGCCTTAAGAAAGCCATTTATATTAGCTATTAATAATAGACTAAAATAAGTGCCCCCTCTCCATTTTATTAAAATGCATTAGACATCAACTTTAAAAGGAAATATTTTGTGCATTCTTTGCTCCAGTCAACAGCAAAACAGAAGTGTCCATCACAATTCTGTTAACACTGTTAGTAATTCTTTAAGTGTTTTATATCATAGAACAAAATACTTTTATCCTGTTTTCTCTAAGAAGAATGATATATATGTGTGTGTGTACCTCAGCTTCCTCTAGAGAAGCCTGCAGTTCAGACTTCTCTTGCTCAATCTGCTTCTTCACTTTCTCCAATTCATGGATAGCCTTTCCGCCCTCAGCGATCTGTTCCGTGAGGTCAGAAATCTCCTCTATTGGTTTTACACAAAGTAAAGAGAAATAGATGAATAGTTTAGTTGTTGTAATATGGATGATGATACACAGCTTTAGGGTGGGATGGGGGTGAGGGGTAAAGTGCTTTATTTTTTAATTCCAGCTCATCCTTGTGGAATAGATTAGTTGTTCTGCACACACAGTGCATGACCTTATGGACACCAGGGTCTGTCCTAGACTCAGGGAGAAGGATTGTTTGAAGTTATATGATTCAGCTGGTTCTTTGGAAGTAAGACATAGCTTCTCAGTTTTGTGCCTATAGTATTCTAAACCTGCTTCTTAGAATATACAATTATTAACTTACGTTGGAGATTCTTGTTCTCACGCTTCAAGGTTTCCAAGTGATCCAAGGATTCTTCATAAGCATTCTTCATCTTAAAGAGCTCTGTGCTGAGAGAGCGAGACTCCTTCTGGGAAGCTTCCAGTTCAGACTGGGCTTCTTCAAATTTCTGTTTCCAGTCTGCCAGAATCTGCAAAACACCACCAAGAAATAAGCAATGAATTCATTAGACCTGAGAACTTCATGCAATAGGTTCATTAAAAAAAAAGAAGTCCAAAATACCTTATCAAAGTTCTTCTGCTTCTTATCTAGAGCTGCACAGGCTGCATTGGACCTTTCCACATCAATCATCAGGTCCTCCACTTCATTCTGTAGCCTTTGCTTTGTCTTCTCAAGGGAAGCACATTTGGAATTCACAGCTTCTACGTGCTCTTCAGCATCCTGCAGGCGCTGGGCAAGTTTTTTCCTTGAAGAAGATAAAAAGTCAGTAGTAAATTGCAATGAATCTGCCTTGGGTAAGCAGGAAGTCTATTATCCTACCATAGGCATGCATAACTTCTGTTACAGACATCATAGAGGACAGAAGGAGGGGACCCCAAGTGTGCCAGAAGTATAAAAAACATTTGGGGAGAACTTGTGGGAGAACC